GAGCATAACGCCTAAAGCAGTCCAAACGAAAATGACGCGACAACAGTACACCCGAAGGTGACCCTACGCTGGTGATCGTTTGTCTGAAATGCCGGGAAAGCCCTCTGGGAAACCACCAAACCTGCTAGACAGCTAGAACCTGGAGAGGCGCAAAACAAAAGCGTGAGTGGGTAAAAACAAAGCTTTTCGAAAACCATTTAACAAATAAGTTCTAACCCCTCGCCGTAAAACCTGTATACTTCCCAGAAAATAAACATATGCACATATATATATATATATAAATGTATCAATCATGCTTCAGGATATGCCATGCCAAATCTCACAATGAAATGCAAGTGCTCAGGTGAAAATCATATCCATAACATATAGTCTGGCAGCCGGAGTCACCTAACGTGACCTGTACGGCTGCATCTAGAGCTCAAATCTCAATCTCAATAACTAAACCTGCCCACAAGTCGGAACCACCTAAAGTGGTCTGTACGACAGGCCTGGGTGTAATACATATAAACGCTCTAGTGCTACGATCACGTGAAGGCTATGCGAATAATCGCGGGTCACCTACGAGTCGGAACCACCTAAAGTGGTCTGTACAACAGGACTGTGCACCTAACTTGGATCCAAGCTGAGTGTGAAGTGCGGGAGGTGAACAACACGTGAAGGACTGTGCCCTACTCTGGGCGGGAGCACTAACACTGGGGGTGCAGGTTATGAGCTCTCTAAGCATCTCGAATCGCTACCGAAAGTAAACATGAATAACACCTACCTGGCACTTACCTATGCGTCCGCAGCACCCAACATGCATATGTATATATATACAACTAATAATGTAACTAACAATGCATAAATAACGATAATCTAACGCATGGCATATGGCCAATGACAATTCAAATCAATATCTGGGAAAATATAAGTATATAGGTATATACGGAAAACCAAAAGCCCACTCACTGGTAAGTGGAAGGGTCATAACCCCTTGCCTCGAGTGACCACGCTCGTCCTCAGGATACGTCTCACCTATATGCGAAATAACTATAAAAATGTTAATTTTAAAGCACATAACCAAACTTTAGAAATAACTTCTCATACAATGCTCAAATGGGGTGTATGAATACACCAACGTGATCTACTCAACCTCAGGAACATCCCCAAATTTTTAAAATAATTTTTCACCGCCGCACGCGCCGGCCACGCGCAGGCACGTGCCTGGCACGCTAACGGCATCAACTGACGCCGTGAGGGAATATTCTGTTATCCCTAACGGTTTCCGTCAACGGCGTCAGGAATATTCCGTCAAACTTGACGGAATATTCCGTCGTCTTCTCCGGCGAGCCTCCGGCGCCGTCGCCGGCGCCGAAAAATCGGGAATTTTTCAAACGTTGATATCTTCTTCGTTTTTCATCCAAATTTCACAAAATTGGTACCAAAATGAAGCTTAGAACTAGAGGAACACAATCATACCACTTTCAAGGGCTAAAATCCACAAAATCTCACCTGAAAAATCAACCCAACTCCGGTCAACTTCGAAACTAGTGATCCCGACGTCCAAAACCATCAAACGAACCACCCCGAGCCTCCTAGGGACCTCACCAAGCTACCTACAAGCTTGAAATTCCCTAAAACGTGAGAAATCACGTGTGCATGAACAGTACCTCAAATCGGACATCGTGTAATCGACGTGAAAACGAAGGTGTTCTTACCTGAAATGGGCATGGTTGGACTCCTACAAGCCTCACGAGTCTGAATATGTGCTTAGTTTCCTCGATCTGTGGAGGTTCGATGGGTGTGTTGGTGTGTCCGTACGTTTCAAAGGAAATGGGAAGGGAATGGGGCTCGGGACAGGCGCAGGGAAACAGGAAGAAAGGTTGTGGAGTGTGGGAAAATGTGTGTGGCCTACAACATGCCAACCACACTAAAAAACAACCAATAAACATAAAGAAATCGAACTAGGGGCAATTTCGTCTTTTCACACGTACGTTGTAATATTTTGGGACGGGCTGTCACAAAAATCACAGATCAAATTAAATAAAAAATTCCAATAAAACTTAATCACAAATTTCATCTTTAGAATTATCAAATATCCAAAAAAAAAAAAAAAAAAAAAAAGAAGAAGATTGAAAGAATCAATTGAGTGAATTAGGAGAAGACATAAATACTTATAAATAAAAATAAAAAATAAACCAAAATCAATATTAACATTTTCTATTCATGTTCATGGTTCTCTACATAAGCATATTTGTTGATTTGGTAATGCTAGAGAGACTAAATTTATAGACAAAATTTGCAAATTAAATGATGTGTCACCAATAGAAATAAGTACATTTATCGTTGCTTAAGTTATAATCCAAATCTAATCATCAACTTCCATATTACTTAGTTTGCAAAATTTAATTTACAAATTTTATCTTCCTAGCATTACCCTAATGGTGCGTTTGTTGCACCAGACTATCTCGGACTGGACTAGCTTCAGGGATTAAGTTGGACTAGCTTAGACTAGACTAATCTAGACTAACTTAATGAAATATTTGGTGCAGTATCAGACTAAGAAGTTAGACTAACAATAAATTATTATTATTATATTTTAATTTCTTTTCTATTAAAAATATCAATATGTAAAAAATGGCATCTTCTTCGCAAATTGTTGGTGCTCCTTTGCACCTTGGAAATTGCAGAACTTCCAATTACAAATGCTTAACCCAAATTCCAGATAAATCAGAAATCGTTCAATTTGGTATCCTAGAAAAATCAGAACTAATTGAAATCATTCAAAATTTGATTAACCAATCTATTCGTAGAATCCAGAAATCGTTCAATTTAATCAGAACGAAATGGTATCCCAAAAAACTCACAAATCCAGCCTCCCTTCACAAACCAAAAGCAGCGAATTCACAGAATCCATCAAATGTTCCAAAACTTTAAAGAACAAAACAAATAAAGTAGAAGAAAAGAAAGAGAGAGAGAGAGAGGAAGAACGCAAAGTACCCAACCCAGAACCCAATCATCTTCTACGAACCCTCCATAGTTATAATCCTTCATAAGGAAAATTAAATCCCAGAAAAATTAAATCATTCAAGCTCACTTGTACATGCCTGACCAGAAATTCGATCTGAAAACCTTAAATCGACGGAGTTCTCTTGATGGAGCTCGTGAGTTCTCTGATTAAAGGTCGAATCTGAGGTCTCATTCGTGATTCTGGGCTCAGGGTGAGGGGGGAGAGAGAGAGAGAGAGAGAGAGAGAGAGAGAGAGAGAGATTGGTGGTGGTTTGGACTTGTGGTGTGATCTTGCCATAGTTTGGTGAGTGTAGGATGCGACGTGAAGAAGAAAGCAGAGAAGGACGCGACGCGAAGAAGAAGAAGAATGCAGCGAGGGTCTTAGCAGTCCCATGGTATTTGGTGGGTCTCGCTAAGACCCTTTAGTGAGAGAGTTAGTGAACACTAGTTCTCTTTAATCCTATTAAACTTAGTCCCACTATGTAACAAACACAGAACTGCACTGATAAGTAGTCCAGTCTAGTCCAGTGAAGACTAATGAAGCCAAACAAACGCTAAAGGTTAAAGCAAAGGCTTTGGCCTTTGACGGCATATTGAATACCTCCCTTAGTTCGAAAAATAAAACTACTCTGCATCAGCAGCAAGCTTTGTTTATCAGTCTCTTTCATCCTAATCCACCTTTTATGGCATATTGTTTTTCAGTCTTCTTTTATTTATTTATTTATCATAATCCATCCTTTTGTTGGTCTGAGACATTTCATCTCTATTTCCTCACAAAATCTCCCTGATTATTCGGCCATTTATTTACATCTGTGAAATTCAAATTCAAACTCAGCAGAACGCACAAACCAAACTCAGATTAGGAAAAACCCTCAATTTCCCAAAATCCCACCATAGGAATTTTCGAATGAGAGAGATGGGAACTTTTAGAGAGGAACCAAAAACACCAATCCTCTCCCTTTCATCTCAGAAACCAAAATCACTCGTTACGTTCCGGCGAGGAGAGGATTCTTTTTTGTTGGTTTGGTCGTCGTCCCAGCTGGGTCGCGGGGAGAGGAGTGAGAGGAAGAGAGAGAAGGGAGAACCAAGAAAAAGAAGATACAAAATAAATACAGTATATATATCCGATGGGTGTATCAGGATAACATATAATCAAAATTAATGTAAAATTGGGAGAGTAAAATCGGCAGACCACAGTTCTTAAGAACAGTGTTTCAGTGTATTTTCAGTTTTAGTGTATATTAAATTTATATTATCAAGAAAATATTTATATTATTAATAATTGATAAGCATATGATTTAGGGTAGTGTTGAGCTCACCTCTTTATTGATTTTTGTTCATTGATCATTTTTAATTCATTTGATCCGACGATTAAAAATTGAAAGTGGATGTGTGAAACAAAAATAGGTGTGTGTGAATAACATCACCCATGATTTATACTATTAATGATAATAAAGCATTTAATTATTAGCATGGACTTCTATATTTAATAATGTATGATTATTGATAAATCGTTTCTCAATATAATAAATTAATATTTTTTTACTAAAAAGTAAAAACAATTCTGTGCGTGTATGGGTTTGAGGCATATAACCCAACCATAACCCGAAATTGAAGAATTTTCATTACGGGTTACCCATAACTGTAAAATATCCAAAAATGAATTTCAAAACAAACCATTTGGATCGGTTACCTGCAAAGATCGAACCTAATACCTCTCACTTATAAATGAAAAAGAATATCATTAGACTATAGTACTAAGTGACAGCTGCTAATTTTGTGCTAGAAGTAATCTAAATTTGGACGAAAACCTCAAACCTCAAACCTTAATCCCTGAGAGTGAATTTGGACCCGTCCTTGCACGTGCCTCAACCAACCGCTACAATCTTCCATTCTTTGACCTTTCTCAAGATTCGAACTTTCGGACATCTTCTAAAATTGGATTAACTGCTAGACTAAGATCGAGTTCGTTTGGTCTAATGCTGTTACTTTGAGTTTTATGGATTACAATCTCAAAACAAGAACCGATTAAATGGCAGTTGAATTTGGAACTTCTCAAGAACAGTACATATGCTTCAGTAATAATCACACGACTGACTGGTTTCTGTCCCTACAAACAGTGATATTCAATGTTTCTTCTCCCTGCATTCCCCTCTTTTGGAACATGATAATCCAATCTAACTCCTGAGCTATTGCGGAAGTAATATTTACGTTGCTAAATGAATCTATTCATGCTTCTTCCAGTTCAGCTTTCCTTTAGGTATCTTGCTGAGGACACCGGCATCCAGCTTCCGGTAATTGTGTTGAAGCAGCCCGAGGACCTGGTATACAAAGCTGTCAACCTGATCATCGTATCTCTCATACAGAACCGGCAAAGTGTGAGCAGCAACAAAACCTAACAAAGAACGAAGCATCAGTTCTCTTGCATATACACAAAACCAGATTACACACCGTAAAACTTAGTTTTCAATTCCATGCAGGGAGTGATGCAAAACGCAAAATGGTGAAAGAAAACGAAGTTTTTGTCATGTAAATGCAAAATTCGGGTGACAATCAAGTACTTTTTCTCCCGACAATCTTCATGGTTATCCCAAATTTTAAGCATCCCATCAACAGAACATGTGATGCATCAGATCATGTGGCAACAAGAGAGACTTGTTATCATTAGTGGTTCGAGCTCTCACCAATGTACAAAATGGTCAGAAAATTGAACCAGCTTCCTATCACAGCAGCAATCCACAAGCTTCCTACAACCTGAGAGGATACCTCAACAGTTCAGTACAATCTTTAAAGACTAAGACTTTAGGTAAAAGTATATCAGAATGGGCTGGCATTCCTACGATAACTTAAATTGAGGACCTCATTTGAGGACTTACATATCAGTCATCAGATCAACGATAGATGGTTGAGATGCATAGCGAGTAAAGGGTGGATATGATGTACTTTAATCATATCTAATATAACAGCTGACATGCAATCTTCCAGTAACATTCACAACTTAGATCATTTCTGTGTAATAAATATAGAAAGAACAATAATAGTTGAAACATACCATAAGGAATTGCTTCACATTTCTTCCATATGCCACATCTTGAACAAATGCCAATCCTTGATTAATTTCAGCACCAATTGAGACGGCAATATTGACGAATAAGTCCTCAGGCAGAACAAGTCGAGGTACTTTAGATGGGGAACTGCTGCCAAGGAGAAACAATACTGAGATCACAATATTCACCTCTACTGTACACAAAACAGGAATCAAGCAAAACGAAGAAGCTCAAAACTCAACATTGCAAAGTGACCTGCTAATCATGCCTGAAAAATTTGACCACAGGAACTGAACAAGCATGCCAACAACCAAAGCAAACCCCACAAGAGTCAAGAAATGATAATTGAGCCATTCAAAGAGCACCCAGACAACAGTTGCAGCAGTTAAAACACTAGCTGAAATCTTTTTGTTCCTCCACAACAAGACATCAGCAGCTACATAATTTGACCATAAAAGAGAAGAATTAAATATAAGGATACTTGGTAGAAGCAACAACTTCTAATTGCATAAAACATGATCATTGCATGTAATGAATTATGAAACAGAATTATATTACATTTGCCTCCACCCAAAATGTGGTGGACAGGTTTCTGGCGTCCAAACAGCCGATTGAACTGAGTGGTGACCGAGCTTGATGCCTCTTCCCCAAATAAAGAGCCAGATGTCAGTTTCGTATCAGCAAGTGTGCCCGCGAAGTTGTTCACATGATCCTCGGCAGTTATTTTCTCAGGCATTGCTGCTACACTTTAAGAAAACAAACTCTAGTCAAGAGAGAAACTCTATACTCTGAAAACTTGTATCAATACAGAATTTTTTTTTATGTAGTCGGAATTATTTAAAAGCATGAACAAAGAAATGAATTTTTCCTTGGCCTGCCTCCCATCCCCATCCTCCCCAGCCCGACCCCGCAAAAAAAAAAAAAAAAAAAAAAAAAACAAATTTAGAAAAATCATCACTGCTTAGATAGTGCAGGCTATGCATTTGACAATACATCTGTTGCCTCTGTATCTAACTTTTGTATATATGGAACAGTCACCACACAAGTTTTTCATCTGCCTTTCAGGATGCTCCTCGGTTAAGCACCCATTAAATGATTTACAAATAAAGGCACAAAAATGGTCATGCTAAAGCAATGTAACTAATAATGTAGGCACAACAAAAGGAAAAGGTAGGCAAGCACCTAATGCAGAACATTGCACTTTGTAGCCTCATATAAAAGGAAACTGCTATCCATATGATATGTTCTCTTTATACATGATCAGCAGAAAAAAGATTTGTGCTTATGCATCATTCAACCTTTATATACCCATCTAAACAGCACAAAATTCTCTAAGCTAACCAGATTCTCAACAGGATCGTTGGGTCTGTCACATGAACAGACTTAATAAGCTAACCAGGTTCTCTCAGCATCTAGACTCACATCCAAAAATGGTAGACCACCAAATGAAAAAAAGTTCAGAAAAATATCTTGCAAAAGCAAATTTGGAAGATCACACAACCAAAATTTGCATTAAAAATGCTCTTTACCACAAGACCCATATTTATTTCATAAGAATGACTTTTCCTTGAATTATCAGTTCAAACCAGAAACTACCAACTGAAAGCATAGAATAGAGTGGAGGAGTACATATGGCCCTCCAATGAAATCAAGCAGATTATAAGGGAAATCACATTGACAGAAAGAAAAGAAATTGCAGCCTAAACAGAAACAATGGAACTAAGCAAGCATAACAGTTTTCACTCCACTAGCTCCAACGCGATTGCTGCTCAGCAGAAGATAGAAACTTTGTGCTTGTTAACCACCATATCTCCAATTTATTAACCATAGGTACACGAAAGTTTGTGCATTGAGCATTTGTCCTGTGTTACTATGAGGATATCAACATGCCAAAATAAAAAAACCTAGTTCCCGTTCGCTCTGTGACCGTTACTTCATGCCAAGAAAGGGCAAGAACCACAAACTAAAAGAAATACTGTAAGCAGGAGTTTCTCTAAAAGATACTCCAAGCTGACCAATTTAACAATACCTAGGGGGAAAAACCACCATACCAAGACGTAATTTTGGAAAATGGAATCACAACAAACCATATAAACAAGTTCCAATTCACACAACTTTACCAAAGATAACAAAATTCTTCCCAAATTCTAATGACCCAGAAATTCAATTTCACACATCAACTAAAATCAACTTCCTCTAACAAAATCACTTCTTGAAAAGTGAAACTAAACAAAGAAATCACAATAAACTCATCCCATTTCTACAATTCAAAGCATCAAAATTCATTACAAAAAATACAGCAATTTGCAGAATTTCAGCCAAACATAAAATAAAGCAAAAACTAGGGAAAAGTAAAAGATGGGTTTTACCTGCGGAGATAAGATTAGAGCAATCAAAGGATGATGGGTTCTTCTTGTAGATTATGAATTATGATGGCATATGAGTGCAGAGCACTGAAGTTGGAGAGGACAAGTAGAAAAGGAGCTCCAGAAACTAACGATAATTGCCGTGCAGGACTCGAATATTTGTTTTTCTATTAGAAAAAGGAATTTTCAGCATGCAAGCGCAGTCAAACGTTGAAGACTTGCAGTTGGGAAACTGTAAACTACGTTCTTTTTTCTTTTTGGTGAAAGAAAATTTCTATTTAAATCATTATGTTGGTGCAAATAGTAGATTGTGCAATAGTTAGTGTATTCTTCTTCAATCACGTTGAAGTAATTTTTCCGTCTTTCTGTATAAATTAATATAAAATATCGTTTGAAACTAAAACAATTATTTTTATCAGTGCGGTTTAGCACTTTGGTTTAGTAGTTGGCTATCCGACTCCCATGAATATCTTTTTATATCAAATTTTTATTATTATTATTATTATTTTTGTTATAACGATATACATCAAGGAGAAAATAAATTAACACCGCATTTATTATTTCTAAAACTCAATTTCAAAATCTCTCGATTACAAATAAAAAGTAATATCAGTAACTTATAATTATCACTCACTCAAATTGTATTCTCAGAAAGATTATTGACGCCATGACAATGATGTTCACAACATGCATGTGGAACATACTAAACGACAATTAGATTCACGTGAATATATTGTGAAAAATAAATAAAATGGTTTTGTATGGTGTGCAATGGACAAGTGTAGGTTCACTACTAAGTTCGATCCAGCACTGAATTGTTTTAACTTAATTAACCCCCCAATTACCTTGAGCGAAATTAGGTCGAATAAACCATACTAGATTTTAGTTGGAGTTTTATCTCAAAAAGTATCGAAGATACTAGCAATGAATCATCTAATATTATAACTTGTGAGAATAAACTACCTATCTCTATATATATAGGAAACCCTTAAGGGAAGGGATCCTCCTTTTTCAAAAAAAAATGGGGACATCCTCTTAATCATTAGATTTGGCTTTAATAAAATCATGTGGCTTCTGATTTAATCTCAGCTACAGAATTTCATTACAATCAAATCTAATGATTAAGAGGGTGTCCCCATTTTTTTGAACAGAGTTTATTCATTTATGTTATATCCATATATTAATGACTTGTATCGAGCCATACAACAAGACTTAGCAACGTCTAACTAATTAATGTCTACGTATGATTAATGGGTACCCAATTAGTTAAATGGATGTTCGTTTAAGTATTAAATATGGCGGTGGGTGATAGTGTTTAATAATTCTAAACGTATCAAGAAGCGTTTTCAATTAGGGCTGAACTTGGCTAGTAACCGAGCTCGAGATGCCAAAACTGAAAACGAAGCCAACTCCTTCGGTTGAGCCATTTTTTATGCCAACACCGCCCCACAGCCAGGCCAAACCGATCACATCGATCAGCGACTTCGACGGTGCGGTTCGGCCGGCAGCGGGTTTGTTGTTTAGAAGAGAGTTTGAGGCCTTCAAAGAAGACCCATAACTAAATAGGTCCATTCCTCAGACGGGCCTCCAACAGAAAACAACAAATATCCGAAGAGCAAATGCATGACTTGGAAACAAAATCATGTACAAAAGCTAAATGAGAACAATGCCACGTGCCACCAATGAAAACCCCTACAACCTTATCCCACATCAACATCTAATCTTCCAAGTCATCCAATTCCCTGATCCAATATCCAAAAATCAACCAACCATTTCCCTTCACGTATCACACAAAGAAAGTTAACATATCCAAAAACCCAACTTTCCCTAGCTCACATTCTACACCACATTTGAGACGATCACAAAGAAGAGTGAGTGAGAAGGAAATGGCCTCCACTGCATGCTTTTTGCACCACCATGCACTCACCACCGCCGCTTCTGCCCGGTCCTCATCGTCGGCACAGCGCCAAGTGGTGAACATCAACAAGCACAACCAGGTTGTGATCTGCCGGGCCCAGAAGCAGGCAGCCGGCCAGGAAGAAGAGAGCGGTGCTAACGTCTCACGGCGGTTGGCTCTCACAGTCCTCATCGGTGCTGCAGCCCTTGGCTCCAAGGTTTCCCCTGCTGATGCAGCTTATGGTGAATCGGGTATACACACTCACTCACCCTTACGAAACCTTTACGTAGTTAATTAATATACGAAATGTTCTCTTGTCAAACAATCTTTTCAATACGAACACCTGAATTGTTTAGTGTTTCTTAAAGCGTAGTACAAACTGACAGTCTAGCAACATAACACGATCAATGTATAATGTGCTCATCTGCATTGATCAAAGTGACTTATAATTATTGATTGAATGCAACTGCAGCCAATGTCTTCGGAAAGCCAAAGTCGAACACAGACTTCTTGCCATACGTTGGAGAGGGATTCAAGCTATCCATTCCTGCAAAATGGAACCGTAGCAAAGAGGTTGAGTACCCTGGTCAAGTCCTTAGGTACGAGGACAACTTCGACAGCAACAGCAATGTGGCCGTCACAATCACCCCAACCGACAAGAACTCCATCGCCGACTATGGCTCCCCCGAGGAATTCCTTACGAAGGTGTACTAGCTTCTTCTATTTTCCGATGACAACGTAAAATATGTTACAATTACATCGTCCAAGTACTTCCAATTACTAACAATTCAGTTATGGTGTGGGTTTTTCTAGGTGGACTACTTGCTAGGCAAACAAGCCTACTTTGGCAAGACTGAATCCGAGGTAATTAGTTGTACAACACATACAAAAATAATGCTAAAGTCTCCAAATTTGTTCGCTGAATAATATTATGTCACTAAACGAGATTCAGATTTGAACAAATGAAATATTGTCACATCACTTGACAAATAAAACTACGTGATCCTAAAAATACTCAATAGAAAAGCACAACGGTGGCAACAGTGTGAGTTCTTATGGAATTCGAATTTGAATATGGTATAGGGTGGTTTCGATCCGGGTGCTGTGGCCACAGCCAACATATTGGAGAGTTCTAGCCGAGTGGTTGACGGAAAGCAGTACTACTACATATCTGTGTTGACAAGGACAGCCGACGGAGATGAAGGAGGCAAGCACCAGCTTATCACAGCCACCGTGAAAGACGGCAAACTCTACATTCTAAAGGCACAAGCCGGAGACAAGAGGTGGTTCAAAGGAGCAAGGAAGTTTGTAGAGAGCACTGCAAGTTCTTTCAGTGTTGCATAAGAATTTATTTGAGAGGGTTTGTGTAATGTAAATCACCTTAAGATTGTGAATTGCCTTTGAGCTCTCTAGTTTTTTTCTTCTTCTTTTATCCTGTGTGTTTAAGAGTTGGCTATAACCGAGGAAATGGTTGAGCATATATAATTGTTTCACGGTATTAAGCAATTTTCTTACTGCTTGTGTAAGTCAAAGAGATTACGGCCCTCTTACTCGAGTGGTTAAGAGCGTTTACCCTCGAGCGTCAGAGTTCCTATGTTCGTTCTATCATTTGTATCGTTATGAAACTTCATAAAGGGTATAGAATTTAAACACCAATTGCCATATGGAAACTTATACCAAAAGATTCAGAACAATTCTGAACAAACCAGACGGCATTTTCTGTTCCTCTGAATGCAATAGAATCCCTTAACAGATGAAGAGCATGGAATGAATAACGCACAAACGTAAATCTACTCAAGAGGAAGCCTGCATCGCAAGATTGCCCCCATTCAATTAGGGTTTACCGAAGAACGTACCAAGGAAATTTCTCATGCACAGAAGTTCGAAAATCGATTCAAAGAAAACAAATCAAGATAATAAAATGAAATAGTAAATTTATTAATACTTGCTGCACAATCCACATGCTTGTTTGACATGAATGTCTGATTTTTTGACGATGATAAAAGGCATTTACACAAAAGCAATGGTCAGAGGAAGAACTTATAACCAGAGATTAGCTTTTTCAAGTCTTTTTATCATGTTCCTCCATTACAATTTAAATGGATGCCATTGCTGTGTGCACCCCTGTGCTTCACCTTTTGCCCGCTCAGGCCCCATATCCGAATTGTGCGGTCATCACTGGCAGAGGCGAACATGTGCGGGTTTGCAGGATTCCAGCTGACACAATTAACAGCTCCAGAATGACCCGGCAATGCCTCTATGAGCTCCCCTGAGCCTCTATGCCATATGTAAACCTGCAAAGTGAAACCATCAATTAGCACTCTGAAAGAGGAGTGACAAGTAATCTTCAAAGTATTTATGTACACGTCCTCCTGTGATGTCCTCTTAATGCCATTGATCATGTTGACCTCACCATACAGTCACAGGTCCGAGATGGTCCACATCATCCAGCAATACACACAGGCATGAATGAACATATATCCAACAAAAAAGAATGGATTAAACTAACAAATAAATGCGTTTTTAATTTAGCCTCCATGCCCTGGCACTGAGCGACTAAAGTGGTTCAACCCTCAATGTAAACAATACACACAAAAGAAAAAACTAAACGTGAAGCCAGTCTCATCTGTCATTAATGAAACTCATCAACAGAACTACATTAATGATCATATCTTGTACTCACAAAAAAGCACGATGGAAGACATATAACTAATAAAAGATTTAAACATGAACATTTATATGGCTGTTAACTGATATGTCCAGACATGAACCTGATATTGATTATACGATTATTCAAAAGAAAACATAAGCAAAAATAATGCTTCAGCATCGCTCTTCTATTTCTGCTTAAAAACTAAAAGCAAAGAGGGTTTAGGATTTTAACAAAATTCTTTACCTGTGAATCCTCACTACCGCTAGCAACAAAAGCTTCTTCAAGTCCACCAAAACAAGACCTGATAACAAATCGGGCGCGTTTGTGACCTTTGTACTTAGCGACAAGCTTGTTTTCACCTTCTATGTTCCAGAGATGGATTTCTTGGTTCAGAAGATTAACCAACAAGAACCTATTATCTCTTGATAAAGAAAAAGATGTTATAGTTTGATCTTCTTCAATAAATGTCTCAACTTTGGCTTCCCTGTCAAGGAGTAATATAGCATTCTCTCTACAATTACTTATAAGTTGCTTCCCATCGCTAGTTATTTCCAAATCAGAGATTCTTAAACTTCGTTGGCCTTTCCAACACTCCAGCTCTTTCCCATCTAACTCCCACATGCAGATACTCTTGTCACTGACACCAGAGAATAAACATTTCCCATCTGGAAACCATCCACAGGACACCAGACCAACACCAGGTTTTTCATAAACATGGAGACATTCACCAGAAGAAACATCCCAACGCCGGACAGCCTCCTCCACTCCACAAGTGAGGAGTTGATGGTCATCAGGACTCCATGAAACTGAGGAAACAGGTTTCTGGTGACCAGATAGTCTATGCTTTAAAGAAACCCCACCATTCACATCAACCTATACCCCAACAAGAAGAAGATTAGGGCATAATACTTCTGAGATAATAGGATCAAAATAAAAGACAAAAAGAAAGCGGTATAACATTAAATAAGAATTACACGCAGAATTATCCAACCAAACTGATATTATCTTTTAAATTTTTTGTATTGCAACGATATAAAACACACATACGTTAGCCTGGATTTGAGGTCAGATAGAAATTGAGCATGCCAAGCTCAGCCAAGTACAGTCCTTTCAAAAGTATGGTGAAAACTAACCGTATTTAATGTGTGTACCGTGTTATTTTCTTCTTTATGCAACTCAACATATCTATGAATGCATACGTCATGTACTTATCCCAAATGTATACATTCCAACCTCAAAGATTCTCCCATCCAAGATGAGGTTATGTAGGTCATAAACAGAAATTGTTGAACATACAAATCCTTATCTCTCGGCCATTAGTTGGAAAAGTGTCATCTAAGCTGCAGATACACACACAAAGAAAAACAATGTTTGAAAAAAAAAAAAAAGGAAATAAATGGAGAACTTAAAACCAATTATATCGCTTATGTTTCATGCACTTGCAAACAATTTAATCTAGGGCACCACAGACTGAGTATATATTTAATACATCATGAAACAGAAAAGAAGCATGCAACAGTGTGAAAATAGATGGAAGGCCAGCATAGAAACTACATGTGAAGAAGGAAGCAGCAACGAGTGATCGATTTCTATATAAGACAGCCTTTTTAGATGAACGCCAACACAAGATTAAGAGAGTTCCATATGATATTAAAGTTACCTCCCATATGATTGCTGATTGATCACTTGATGATGAAGCTAAGTACTTCCCATCGTGTGAAAATTGCAAAAACCAGACTTCGTCATTGTGTGCCTGTAATATCTGTAAAATCGGAAGTGATTAGAAAGATATGGAATAAACATGACTAACATGTACAGCCAAATTCACAGTAGCATTTATAAATGTAAGAGTGGGGTAATGTAGATTCTAGACAAGGTAAATAAAATATCTACCAAAAAAGCATAACAAAAGAGTACTGATGAGAGAGAATGAGAGATTAATCTTCATTAACATAACAAGTCATGGAACCAGAAGACAGCAACAACGCAGGCTAACAAAACCAAAAATAAAATCAATGAAGATGGAATCAAACATAGATTAAGTGGTGCCAGTTACAGAAGCACTTGATACATTGTAAGAAAACCATGGGTTGCGCATTCTGTTAAATTTTAAAGGTTGGAGAATGAAACTCAGGCTTTACAGTTTTACCCATGTGCCGAATAAAATACACACCTTCTAGTATTGTCCACCAATTTTATTCATGGTTTTGTGAAATGCTAAGGTAATACCACATACTTTTTACTGACTCCCCTCCATTTTCTATTTTGAAGCCAAACTAATTGGAAGGACTAAAAGAACAAGACTGGAGAAGAATCCTCTAACTTATCAAACAGAATGGCTAGTAGCTTCTCACAGTCCATAAACCCCAGATAAACGAAGACTTATTAAATAATCTCAGCTTACCCATTCACTAATATTACTTAACTTCAAGAGATTAAGATGAGATAACTGAGATCAAAATAAATGAAGAACAAAATTTTGCATACACCATATTATATATGACCAAATCAGTAAACTTGATAAGCACACAGCACTATATTAAAGCTTCAACCAAATCTAGTTCCAACCTGTAACGCTTGAGAAGGAATCTGCTCTTTCCCACACCAATGATCAGTGTACAATGACATTTCCTCGTTCAAGGTGTTGTGAAAAATGCAAGCATCACGTTGTAAGACAAGGGCCTGTTCAACCAAATGTTCCAACCGTCTGTCAAGTATCATAAGTGTTGGGGGAAGTAGTTTCTGCAAGTCCTCCAGTAACTTTGATCGAGACTTGGCCCGCACAATGTTCTTACCAGGAGTCCCACCAAATGAAGGAGAAACTATGCAGGAAGAAAGCTCGCGAACTCTACTACCATTGATGCAGAGAGGCACAATCTCAGTCCTCAATGTCTTCAATGCATCCATGTCTTTTTCTTCATCTAGAAGTTCAAAGTACTTCTGCTCCAATATCATAAAGGAGGCTGATTTAACAATGGTTTCATCAGATAGACCAATTTTTTGCAATGTGTCAACACTTCCATCCCAGTTTCCATCCAGAATTTGCTGCATAAAGAGATTTACGAAAGAAGAATGCAATGGTATCCCAGACTCTTCTTCCAAATGAGCACCACTTTTCTTATAGCCAAGAGAATATAGCGCCTTAGCTATTAGTCGAACAAATTCCACCCTCTTAATAACTCCTTTTGAACCAACAACCTGTTCGTCCCCTTCAGATGGTAGGGGCCGAGCCATCAAGTCTCTTGAAGAGCCAGCTACAGGCTCTGCACAAGATGAACCGTTGGAAAGTCCTCTCAATTCTCCAGCGGATAATTTCATGCGTTTTGTGGCTGGTTCTTCATCCCCCACACCTCCCATGAAATGTGCACCTCAGCCCATATATTAATACAACGGTAGAGAAGCAAGAAGCAAGTAATTTCAAACAGCCAGTTGAAGACAAGAAACAAATTCCTGGATACAGTAAAAATGGTAATGAATATGTAAAAGCTTAAAGTCTTATCCATCATAACATTAACATCTCTAAGTTGTCCACACAAAAGAAAGAACCCAACCATATAATACCATCTACATAGAGCATTAAAACTTCTTTACAAGATCTGATTGGAACTAGAACGAGTAAATTTTTTACTGCAAATGCCTGAAAATTTACAATTTCAGCAATTCCATTAAATGACTTCAAGGTTGAGTCAAAGATATAAGCAAAGGAATCATTAGTTGACTGGTCCACATTCTAAGATCAATAATGTACATCAATCATCAAACTACTGATACCACAAATCCTGAAGAGCTTACGAAGAACACACCAAACTGATGATATACCATTTAAGGAAACAGAATCAGTCCGATTTCAGTCCATAATATGCTCAAGAAAAGCTAAAATCTACCAAGAAAGGGAAATACATCGTTTTTAACACCTAAAAAAACACATCTTAGTGATAATGGATCAGAACCCACATCAGAAACAATCAAAAGTAGCAGAATCCTACAACCTTAGCAATCAAAACAAACCGAAATACGAAATCTGACCTCGAAAATTTCGATATGCAAAAGATATAAACACATAAGAACAAAAATCCAATAAGTTCAGCAAGAAATGAGAACCAACCAAGAGGATTAGAAGCCGTCACAAGATTAACCCAGATTAAGAAGCACAAACAAAGCAAAATCCAAGATACCCAGAAACCGATTCGGGGTTTGGGAACCGATTCCGATCAAAAGAAGAAGAACCCAATACAGAAACACCCTCAGAATTCAAGAAATCAATGATGGGTATGAGGAAGAACAGGAGAGCAAAGCATCCAAAACCAAGACTTGCTTTTTTCCCAATTGTCGGCACATTAGAAGTAATACAGGCGAGCAAGCAGCATATTAAGGCGATAATTATGATGAAATTATGTGAAAAAAAGAAAGAGCAGATTGCAGATTTCAATGAATGCCAAATGGGTTAATGATTTGGGGATTTTGAAGGGATGAATAAAGTATATAGATATACCAGGTACCTTTATCGTATAACACACTGAGAGTTCCTCTTTTGCGTGGAGGAAACCACCTCAATGGGGGTTATATTTTAAGAGAGAGAGAGAGAGGGAGACAGAGTCAGAGAGATGAGTCCTGCAAGTTCTACTTGTGCTGCCTTTACAATCTTCACATTTTATAGCTCGTTTACTAGTCTTAATAAAAAGCAAATCAATTGAATTAAGAAGGTGATTAAAGGGGAAAAGTTAGAATTTGATTCTTGTTAAAGACTTTTTACCCCTAAATTGCAAATTTGCTGCCTTGGTGGTACACCACAGTTCAAATTTGGGCCAATGCCATGGGCTGGGCTTTTAGGTTAACATATTTATTTTTTTAACGATAAACGGAGTTTATATACGAATCGATGCCGTCACTAAATTATATATATTTGATGTGAACAACATTTTAAAGTTGAGTATGTGTTCTTTCTTATCTACTAAGATTTCAAGTACTCACATAAATGACGACATTAATGCTCAACTATTATAATTGTCCTATTATATATTAGTTGACAAATCTTCGTATTGAATCTATTGAATAATATAAAGTCCTACATTAAAAATCTAACTTAATTAGTTATGGACTGCTGGACGACCTATGAAACTTTAACATGAGAAACCTTAGTAATAAATCACAATATGACCTTCACAATGCAAGTCATGAATTTCAGCTATACGCTTGATAAGATTCATTCATCGAAATCAATATAAACATTGTGAAAAACATATTTGCACATAAAATAACACATGTGGAGAAATTAGTTTACAATTTTTCTTTTTAGATACATTTTTTCATCAGAATGCTTAAATACATGTAAATAACGAGATTTGAACTTAGCGGCTAAGCTAAAGTCATAGCCAAAAATAAAGTGTAAGCGGCGCCCCCACCGCTCATGTAAATCAAAGCATAAAAAAAGCATATGCCGAAGAAGGGCCAAAACACTACTAACTTGCGAAACACACAGCCCAACTCAAAACACCACCATTCGCAACCAGCAGCAGTCGCCAACTATTCAGGGCAGAGCCAGACGCCGATACCCCAACCTTCCACAACTCCGCCGACTCTCTCTCTTTCTTTTTCTCCTCCCGTCTCTCTCTATCAATCTTCTTCTTCTTCCTCGAGCCATTGCATTTCTGTGGGTGCCAAAACTCAGACCCAGATTCGGAATTTAACGAACAAAGAAGCAAAAAAGAAGAGGGCCGGAGCCGAAGGAAGGGAGAGAGATGGCGAGGAAGAAGAAACATACTAAAGTTGATGAACCCACAAAGAACCGATTACTTGACGCACTCGAGCGGTTCAACGCTTCAACTGATGAAGGTAAAGTTTTAATTTCTATTAATTTAAAGTTCCTGGGTTAAACTGTGTGCTAATCAATTTTTGCAATTGATTGCATTTTAATCCGTGTTCGCTTCCGTTTCTTGGTGGGCTTTTGTGATTCGAAAATACCCAGTTATTGATTTTGTTTTATTTTTTGAAAATTAGGGTGCTTTTGATGTTTGTATGAATGTTTTTTTATTTAATTTTTCAATAATATGGGAATCTGATTGCAGTTTACACATTTGAGGCCGGTCTCTCGAGCTTCGAACGGGCATTCGTGCATGAACAATGCAGGAGATGGTCTATGAAATCGAAGAGTAAAGGGTGAGTGTGCTTGTAGTTATGCCCTTTCTGATTGTGACAAAATGTGGTCTATTTCAATTTGAGAGAAGCTTACATGTTCCCCTATTTTCGGAACTGAAAAAAAGAGAAATTTTCAGCTTCCCCATCTGCATAGTCAGCCCTTTGGCCTTTCTACTTGTTTTACTGATAATGAACCTGAACTTTGTATAGGAAAGGGGAACACCGGTGTATCTCTGTTTCCAAAATTAGAAAGAATAACACTGATGTACCAAGTCTCAGTTCCTTGACATTTTCCGAAGGCACAAAAGAAGTATTAAGTGACTTGTTCGTACGTTACCCACCTGGTGATGAAGTGGAGGACTTAGAATTGTCTGGGAAAAGTAGCGATAAGAATGAGAGTGCCCAGCGGAAGAGGGACAATACGTTTCGCAAGCCTTTGATGAACAAGGAAGAAATTGAAAAGAAAGTGGAATCACTTGCTTCTAAATTAAAGAATAATGCTAACTTGAGAACGGTATTTCTGAGCTCACTGATGTTATACCCATAGTATCATTCTACAGAAATTTTAAGTCATATTTTCAAAATAGTAGTCTCAGCATGACAAGGTATTTGTGGCTTTATGCATGCAGATTTTTGAAGACAAGTCCAAGCTTCCAATTATGTCCTACAAGGATGTCATTACATCGACAGTTGAATCTCACCAGGTTAATTTAAAAAAAAAATCACATACTTGGTGCCTTAAAAATTATTAGCAATTTGTAAAAAAAATAAAATTTATTAGTTATGATCTGATCACATTAAGTATGATATTATTTTGACACTCCCTAGTTTAAGTTAGATGTGTGATGTTACCTTTCCCGAACATGATCGGTTTGTTACTGGGTACTAGAATCCCTGTTTTGCCTACATTATTGAACCTTCATTCGACTTGAATGTATTTCTTACATAGGTTTTGGGGCTTAATGTTTGTTCTATGTTTGAAAACAGGTAATTCTTATATCTGGTGAGACTGGGTGCGGAAAGACAACACAGGTTACAATTTCTTTACTTTGTCTTTTTTTTGGTATATTTATCACAGCGTGTCTTGAACCTCTGTTTCAAAGGAATTTCATTTCTTATCTTTTTCTCACAAATTTATCTGTGTTTTAGCAATGATATGCAATGAAGTGCTTAGTTGTTTTAGAGCTTCATTTGTTCATTTACTTTTTAGTAGGAATTTTGTTGAAATCAATCAGCGAGTTGGAAAGATTGAAAAAAAATGAAAGATAAGAAAAGCAACTTTGAGCTTGATAAGTAAGGATGTTTTAGTGTCTTATGATATTTGTGGAGTGCATGTACTAGTCTTGCAAGAAAACCCTATTTGGTTGGTAAGCTGATCATATAATAGCGAGATTTATATTCAGTCATGAATTTGGAGGCAGGTTTAGCTGATTTAGAACACTTAAGGAACATGAACAACTCTGTTAGAAGTATAATTATGAACTTGTAAATTTATAGATAAGGAGATAGTCGGCATACATAGTTGTGGGTTGAATGCTTAGACACTGATGCATGATAGGTGGAAGCCAAGGCACCTGAATTCTCATATATGGTACAGTAAGCTACATCGAACACACACATATTTAATGTTAAACCTGAATCTGGCAAATATTAAAGGATGGTGCTATTCACACACCACATTTCACCTTCTACACACTCTTGTTAATTTTTGTCCATTGATCTTCTATAATTCATTCGATCCAATGGCCAAAAATTGAGAAAGGTGTGTGAGAAGTAAAAATGGGTGTGTGGATAGCACCACCCATATTTAATTGTTTGCCTGATTCTGCAAAAGACTATAATTAATTTTTGGGTGATTGAATTGAACTTTGACATGATCTAGGCATTGTGTCTCATCAAGGGGCACATTGATCAAACCTTTTTTGGTGGTGTGGGAATTGCCTCATTTATTAGTGACTGCTAAAGGAGATTTGGTTGATACTACTTGTATGACATGGTAGGGTACTAGGGTGGAAGTTAATTCCTGAACTTTTAATATATGTTAAATGAATATGGAGGATCATGCTAACATTAATTGGGTAATGAACCTATTGCTTTTGAAAGCTTGATGTTTTAATACGAGGGGTGTTGCTTGTTTGATATTTAGCATCAACCCTATCTTTTCGTATTTCATTTTTGGTTGACCAACTTTGAATGGTTTTTTCTTATATGATTACTAACTTTTCCTTTCATGGAACTACCAATATTGTTTTAGGAAATACTGATTGCGTATAAAAGTTGTGGTTTGTTAGGTTTTAGGTGTATACTCTGATTATTAGGGGACTATGTTGGATATAAGTCTTGGTGAATGGTACATGTTGGCTAATTGACCTGAGCCTTCAATTCAGTGGTTAAAATAAAATTACTATTAAAAAAGAAATGTCTTGGTGTTTGTCTAGATGAGTCATAGTGATGACAAAAAAATGTAAAGTCAGTAGGGGTTGCTTGTTAGAACTATGAGGAGATTTGTAATCTAAAAAGGTCTTGAATTGAGTAGGACAAGTTTACGATATATAGTTAGGATTACAATAGGATTAAAACAGGCTCCCTTTTAATCTTACAGCCTAGATACTTCTGAACTCACACTTCTAATATTATGGCTAATAAATTCTAAGGTTACATGAAAATCTGATACATACAAGTAGAGTTTGTTGGATAAAGGGAAGACGTCTTTGTTGGGTGTTTTGGGATCAAGGAACACCTAGTAAATTGCATGGAGATGAGTGCCTACACTTATGACATATTTTGGTTGATGTGAACTCTTACAAAACCTGCTCCTGTGGCAAAATTGGTACTTTTACTTTGCAAAACTAAGCCCAGTGCATGTCCCCATCCGGAGTAAAAATTCATCAAGATTTTGAATGTTTATTTAGTGAATAGCATTTCAAAAAAGGAGAGTTGGAGTATCTAGACTTAAAACAATGTTTGTGGATGTGCGTTTTCAAAAGTGCAATAATAATGTCATCATTGGGAATTGGGAGTTAAAATCTTGATCAGGTTCTTATACTCATTGGATTAATCTGTTTCTATGATAAGCTTTAGTAGTTACCTTGTGTTTATCAGTCATGTGAAGATGTATATGACATGCTTTTAACATTTCTTTGATGTTACCTTTACACTGCGCACTAGTTTTTTCTGCTTAATATACCGTAGCATTGATATTTTTATGAAGGTACTTACTATCATTACTTTCTGTGATTATATTTGACGGTGTGTTTGTTTAAAATGTGGTTCAGGTCCCACAATTTATTTTGGACCACATGTGGGGCAAGGGTGAGGCATGTAAAATAGTGTGTACTCAACCTCGACGTATCTCAGCCACTTCAGGTTGACACTTGAGACTATTTTTTCTGCATACAGAACTTTTAGGTTCCTTTTTTTTAATATCCCTTTCTCTTCTCATTGTAAACGAAAAAAAAGTTCAATTCTTTGTATTTTGGTGTCCAGTTGCTGAGAGAGTCTCTCAGGAAAGAGGAGAAAATGTCGGAGAGGATATTGGATACAAGGTAATGCTATTCATGAGTTGTTTTAATGTGTAGTTTGTCTTTTATCTTATGAATGACCATTTTGTCTTACATTGTTGTTAGAAGGCAAGTTGTATTGTTAGCGGCCTCGTATTCAGTTTAGGTATATCTACTAGACATGACTGTCCCTAGGGAAGAAGATACTCCTGAGTTTTGCAAGTCAATAGTCAGTAATCTGGAGAGTTTGAACAAATTAATCTTTTCATTGGAAATTAGAGGGCAGAACTTGTTGTGAACACCTTTGTTGGGTGTTTTTGGTTGGTCTGATTGTCAACATGTAAAGTTGGTTGGTTGTGTCATTATCTGTTATTTGGTATTAAATATATTCGTGGGGTTTATATCAAACCAGGGAAGGTTATATTCCTTGTGATTATACATTTCTGTGTGGAAGTATGCATAGGGTCTATTAGATTCCAAGTCTTATCTATCTTGTCTAATAGGATTTTCGAACTACTTATAACTTGTGACTAATTAACCTGTGTACTTTTGGCAATGTTAGATACGATTGGAAAGTAAAGCTGGGAGGCACTCATCAATTGTTTTCTGCACAAATGGAATTTTATTGAGGATGCTAGTTTCCAGAGGTGCTGATAGATCAAAAGCAGATGCCTCAAACAAAGAAACCGAGCATAATCTTGCTGACATAACTCACATTATAGTGGTACTGTACTTTCTTCATGTGGATTTTTTAATTTCTTTCTGGAACCTAGGAACAGATTCTAGTAATTAGATTATAGGGCTGGAAGGTTGATATGTGCATTCATTCATTTGTATTAGGCATATGCTGTTGAACTAATTTTATCGATACCAGTTTCAACATGTGCTCTCATATATGCTTCCTTGTTTGTGTTATTGTGGATTGCAATTACAATGACTGGTGTTCATTCTGTAGGATGAAATTCATGAAAGGGATCGCTACGCTGATTTGATGCTAGCAATTATCAGGTATCTCTACAACATATCGATTTATCACCATTGAGTTGTTTGCTTGTGTTAATTAACCTCGATGTCTATATGCTTTTGGTTTGCTTAAGAGCTCAAATTAGAGTAACTTAAATTTGGGAAAAGCCAAGTATGAGTAGCAATAATACTATCAAATAGTCAAGTGGAGAAATGTTTGAGCGAAGTGCTACTGTGTATTGTAATTCATTACTGGTGGACATTAACTCTAGAATGCACATAACTCTTGCAAAGTTTATCAATCTGAACTTTCTATTCTGATTTTTCTTTATTTATTATTTTTTTCTGTGGTTTATGTGCAGAGACATGCTTTCTTCACACCGTCATCTACATCTGGTTAGTTCAAACATGTCTTCTGTTTTGGTGATTCTCACCAATATATGTACGTTTGTCTTTTTTTAGGAACTTATATTAACTGGTGATCCACGGTCTCTTTCCTATAATTCTTAACCTAACAGATATTAATGAGTGCGACTGTTGATGCCGAACGATTTTCAAAATATTTTGGTGGCTGCCCAATTATCCGTGTTCCTGGGTTCACCTATCCTGTAAAATCTCTTCCTCAGATAGTGACTTGTCATTTGTCTGAAAAAATACTGTGGTTTGTTAATATGTTGATCTTGTGCTTCTTTGTTTTAATATCTTTACTATCTTTTTTTCAGGTTAAAAGTTTCTATTTAGAGGATGTACTTTCTATCCTGAAATCTGCAGAACGTAATCACATTGATAACACTGTAGTAGGTTTACAAACTGAAGACCCTGACTTAACCGAGGAAGATAAGCTTACTTTAGATGAAGCTATTAATTTGGCTTGGTCTAATGATGAGTTTGATCGCCTTCTAGAATTGCTTTCTACTGAAGGAACACACAAAGTCTTTAATTACCAGCATTCTTTAACCGGACTTACACCGTTAATGGTGTTTGCTGGAAAGGGTAGAACTGCATATGTTTGCATGCTTTTATCTTTTGCTGCAGACTGCCATTTACAGGCCAAGGATGGAACAACCGCATTGGAGTTGGCTGAACGGGAAAACCAGCAAGAAATTGCTGAGATATTGAAAGAGCATATAGAAAATTCTCTTTCTAACTCGATGAAAGAACAACTGTTACTTGATAAATATCTCCAATATTTCAATCCTGAAAATATTGATGTGGTTCTTATAGAGCAATTATTAAAAAAAATTTGTAATGATTCAAAAGATGGAGCCATCCTTGTTTTCCTTCCAGGGTGGGACGATATAAATAAAACCCGGGAGAGATTACTTATGAATCCACATTTCAGAGATTCTTCAAGGTTTCTGATAATAGCTCTACATTCGATGGTTCCATCTTTTGAGCAAAAGAAGGTCTTCAAACTTCCCCCTCACGGATGCCGTAAAATTGTTCTTTCAACTAATATGGCTGAAACTGCCATCACCATAGATGATGTTGTTTACGTTATAGACACTGGTCGGATGAAAGAAAAAAATTATGATCCTTATAGTAATGTATCAACTCTGCAATCTTCTTGGGTGTCAAAGGCAAATGCCAAGCAGCGAGAGGGCCGAGCAGGCCGTTGCCAGCCTGGAATCTGTTATCATCTCTATTCTAGACTTCGAGAAGCTTCATTGCCAAACTTTCAGGAGCCTGAGATTAAGAGAATGCCAATTGAGGAGCTCTGTCTTCAGGTAACATTTCTGCTCATTTTTTGAACCTCTTTGAATCATGACAGAAAATACTTCTGCCCAAATGGTTGCATCGTTCTATTGTTGACATGTTAAAGTTCCGCATAATTGTTATTCCCTTCCTCCTACCTCCCCTTTCTAAAAAGATTCCACTTCCAAAGAACTAGTAAAATGACGAGTTGTGTGATCATAAATAAGAATGATAGGCATATCTGCGTGTCATACGTAGGTGGGATGTTTTGCAATTGTTGAGTTATGTTTTAGTCACTTCTGTTCTTTATTTTCTTGCAAGCTGCTCATATTAAACACGCAAATTGCTTGCAGAAACTTGATACTTAATATAAAGTGAATTGCATTATATGCCGTAGTAATATTCGAAGCGATAAGAGAACAAGTGTTGTTTAAATTTATAATTTGTATGATTTTGTTGTATAAGAGGAGCTTTTGAGGCTAGTCTGGTATTGTTGTGCTTTTAAAAAGAACTCTGTTGTGCTGTGAGAATAAACAGTTGTAAAATAAAATTGTTGAGTGTTTGGTAAATTTTTTTTTTCTTGTAAAGTGCTTTTAACAAAAAATAGTGTCCGAGTGTTTGGTAAACTTCTATTCAAATTGATGTGAATATGTTAAATGACTAAAAAGGATGTGATATTTAATGTGATATAATAATTGTTAAAGAGAATAATGTAGAGGCAATGTTTGTAATTTTGTAAAATATGTGGAGGTATACTTGCCATTTGAAAATTTCATTAAATGGCTACTGATTACTATGCTTTAAAAAAAAAAAAAAGCACTTTTTTTTCAGAAGCATAGTAGACCCTACTTCTGTTTTTCTACTATCATTGACATCAGTTTTTTAAAAAAGTACTTTTTTTTTAGTTTTACCAAATACAATTGATGTTCGAGATTTTTTAACAAGATGCTTTTTTTTTAAAAGCACCATAATCTCAAACCAGCCCTTTGTAATGTCTTAAAGCTTTGTGAGATTTTGGTTCTGGTTGACAGGTGAAGTTACTCGACCCAGAATGCAAGATAGAAGAATTCTTGCACAAGACATTGGATCCCCCACGTGCAGAGACCATACGCAATGCAGTTTCTGTTCTTCAAGATATTGGGGCACTGTCGCTCGATGAGAAACTTACAGATCTTGGAGAGAAGTTAGGCACTCTACCTGTTCATCCACTGACAAGCAGGATGCTTTTCTTTGCAATACTGATGAACTGTCTAGACCCAGCTTTGACTCTGGCATGTGCTTCTGACTACAAGGATCCATTTGCCCTGCCTATGTTACCTGATGAAAGGACGAGAGCTGCTGCTGCTAAATTCGAACTTGCTTCATTGTATGGTGGCCTTAGTGATCAGCTAGCAGTCATTGCAGCATTTGACTGCTGGAAGGCTGCAAAAGAAAGGGGTGAAGAGAGAGGTTTCTGTTCTCGATACTTTGTGTCTTCAAGCACGATGCACATGCTATCTGGTATGCGTGGGCAGCTCCAAAAGGAGCTCAGTCGGCATGGGTTTATTCCCGAGGATGTATCAAGATGTAGCTTGAATGCAAGGAACCCAGGTATACTCCGTGCTGTTCTTGTGGCCGGTTTGTATCCAATGGTGGGTAGATTGCTTCCTCCTCTCAAGAATGGGAAACGAACTTTTGTAGAGACTGCTAGTGGTGGTAAAGTTCAATTGCACGTCCACTCCATTAACACTAAGTTATACAAGGCAAATCCTGGGGAACGTCCATTGATTGTTTATGACGAGGTAACTCGTGGGGATGGGGGTATGAATATACGGAACTGCACTGTTGTCGCGCCGCTTCCATTATTATTGCTTTCATCAGAAATTGCTGTTGCTCCAGCCAATGATGATGATGACAATGACGAGGGGAGTGATGTGGATTACATAGAGGATGGAAGTGATGAAGATGTAATGGAAATAGATCGTAAGTCAGGTGGACAACACGAGGAGAAAATTATGTCGTCTCCTGATAAATCAGTCAAAGTTATTGTCGATTGTTGGCTTCATTTTGGGTCCAAAGCTCTTGATGTTGCTCAAGTTTACTGCTTGAGAGAACGCCTATCTACAGCAATCTTATTCAAAGTACTTCATTATTCTTTTACGGCTTACTTTCCATCGCAATTTGCAGTACCTCACAATAATTCATTTACATCCCGAAAGCTTGTTGATTTCCAATCTGAGTTTCTGTTCACTTTGTTGTAGGTTACGCATCCAAGGAAAGATTTGCCTCCTGCTCTCGGGGCCTCTGTCTATGCTATCGCATGTGCTCTATCTTATGATGGTCTATCTGGGATCACATTACCGGTGGAATCTGTGGAGTCACCGACTTCTGTGCTGGAGAGTCAAGCGTACTTGCAATTTCTTATCAGCGGTAACTCACATGACCAACACATCCTCCGACCACACTCTAAACCGACACGTAACACAGGCCATAAACTTTCTAAATCTCTCGGACCATGTGAGGGGCATGGAACATCACTTATGAGCCATAACGCACACCAAACACATCAGTCCGCACTTGTGAGCCATGGGACACACCAAACACACCTCAAACCACATGAGAGGCCTCCACCACAAGGTACTAGTGTACTTGCCGCTAATGGAGCAGTGAGGTCTTGTACGAAAGGAAACAAAGCAGCCAACTTGAGTGACCCTTCAAGTCACAACGTTGGACCACCGCTTCATTGGGTTTCCAAGACTGCACACCAGAAGCCTCCATCAGAAGGTACTAGGTTACTTGCCATTAATGGAGGGGCAAAGGTGAGTGAGCCATTAAGTCAGACTGTTGGCCAACCGGTTAAGTCAACTTCGAGGAAGAAGCGTAGGAATGGCGCCGGGTAAGCGGTGATTACTAATGAGTCTAACTGCATGTTGTAGGCTGTTAGATGGGCGTAAGCTGGCCGCGTAGAAGGCCTAGCAGTGGTGGGTATGGCGGATGCGGTTATTGATCAATCTACAGATTTGTACTGCCCTCTTTTAGGCCCATGTTTATGAGTTCTTGTCATTTTATAGGATGTGTAATGTACCGTCAACACATTGATCGTTCCAAATCTCCCGACATGTATTCCTCCAGGAAATTCTTATTTGCCAACATTTTCCTGCGAACAAATGAACGCGTCCGAACCGTAGCTTTGATTTTATTGTCAGAAGATCGGTGAAAGCGAAAATGTTCTTGGTTTGATTAACAGTTCAGATTAGTTTATATCAGTAACAAGCTTGAAGTGAAAATCTTGGTCAAGAGGAAGCCATGTGGTTCCCTTTTTATTGAACGACATGGCCAAATTTTGGTGGTTGTCTCTCTCTGAACTGTAGCAATGCCAAACCCTACTTGTTGGACTACAAGTGGACTATTGCAACAAATTGGAAATAAAAAACGTTTTATCTACTCCGAGATATCCTTTAAGCAGTGACATGTCACGTGGTGAAAGTCAGAGAGAGAGAGAGAGAGAGAGTTAAAACAGTTACACAAACCATCTTTTTGAACCAATTGGCACCCTTGCTTACCCGCACAAAATTGAAAATGCAACATTAACTTTATCACTTAGCATGTCAATCTTAGGAGAAAAACTTGTGTAAGATAGTCCGACCGCATTATCTGTAAAGTGTCGCTCAAAAACATTGAATCTCTTATATTTTAACAACATTTAATTCTACATATCATTCAGTATGAGAGTTGACCTAGTCAGACAGTCTTACCCAAAAACGAATAAAAACAATAAGGATAAGGAAAACAAAAGAAGCCAACAAAATGAGGATAACCTTAGTGACCAAACTTTGTCCCAATTAGGCTCCATACCAAAATAAAACAACCCCAATCATGCAAAATTTGCATCCCCTTGGAGATGGCAAAGGCAGAAGGAGATAAAGAAGGTAGAATTTCGTTGTTAATTGCAATGAAAGGCCACCCAGGCACAGGCAAATCCACCCTGGCCCACTCCTTATCCTACACCCTCAAACTCGAGAAAAGTTTCATTTGCACCAAATATTTATAATATAATTAGTTGAAAAACAAATTATATTAAAATTTTTAACTAATTGTATTATATTATACGGGTGTACCTCAGAATTTTATCAACCTTTCCTAATATAAGGTTTCTCATTTTTTTTTTTACAAGTGATGTTAAGGAGAATAAAAATAAAACTCTGTAACTTGAGTGCATGAGAAAGCACCTTAACAAAATCATTTCGAACCAACGTCATCTTAATTTGTCATTTGAATAAGTCAGTATTCAATATTTTACGGTTGTTGTGAACTAAACATAAGAATAAAATAGTTAGAGAGGATCCTCGCCGGATACCTTTATGAGGATTTCAGATATCTTCCAATCACATCTGTTTATCGTACATCGTGCAGCCAATTTTAGTAAGGTACTATTTATATTTAATTTTAAATAAAAAAAAATTATAATGATTTCTAACCACACGAAATACAATAAACGAATGTTATTTAAGAATCCTGAATCCTCATAAATAGGAGTCGATGAGAATCCTCACTCTAGATTAGTAACTACCTCAAATGCTCAGTTACTTACATCATCATATGTTTAGGGGTGTGATATCCACGCATCTTTTTTACTTCTCCCACATTTTTTTGGTTTTTAACCGTCAGATTAGATGAATTGAAGAAGATCAACTGACAGAAATTAACAAGGGTGCGTGAGAAGTAAAAAGGAGTGTGTAAATAGCACACCCCTATGTTTATTGTAGGCTTAGACTTGATAGATGTGCCTACTATACCGTAGCTGCCAAAGATCAAACAAAATAGACAAGTAAAAGAATGCCAAAATCTTGTAAATAAAATAAAGCCAACGTCAACCATCACAGAGGTTGTCCAGTGATTAGGGATGAATTCTAGATCTGTATTTCTTAGTGTACATTATGTATTTGATTTCAGGGGCTGGTGAATTGCACGATAGAGATCTAGGAAAGCTGAAATGTTTATGTGAGTCTTTTCGCATCACTAAGATTGTCTAGTGATTATGGACGAATTCCATATCTGTATTTCTTACCATACATTATGTATTCGATTTCAAGCGCTGGTGAATTACACAATAGAGATCTAGAAAAGCTGAAATATTTATATGAATCTTTTCGATCCCCTGAAATGATGGACTGTGTAACAAAACAACCAACTAATCTCTTATCAAGAAAGAAAAAATAAAGCCAACGTCATGTGAATCCAACGTGAGAACTTAATAAAGTAGCCATAGTATCAATGGTTGCTATTTTTCAACCACAAATAATTGCAGCCGCCGCAATGATTGATGCTTCCTAATAGGTTCCCATGTCAAGAGAACGAGGAGTCAACCCACCGGGGCTGCCCCCCTCCCTGCACCCCATAAACCCAAAGGAAGAGGAGGGAAAATCCTTAATATCTTGATTAATCACTATTTTATTCTTAATTTTATCTGATAACATAAATTAATCTTGATTATTATATAAAATTTTTGGTGCTGCTGAGTATGCTGACAGGTTAAATTTTGTCATTAAGAACATCCAGCTGTGTTTAAAGTTTGTCTTATTACTTGTCCAGTCAACCGTTTGCCCTGACCAGTTGGATTCACATCACTTCCTTTTTCGCTTGCAGAGAAAGAGAGAGAGAGAGAGAGAGAGAGAAGAGAGCAGGTTTGTGCCATATTCCTTCAAATATCTTGCTGAATTTCAGGGCATCATCTTAGAAGTCTGACGCTTTTCTTGGTCAACTCTTAGGTCTTTCAAGCTTTTTTTTTCTTTTCAAAAGGGTGTCTTTGTATGCAATCTTAATCCTTTTTTCTTGGAACTTTAGTCAATATTTTTTCTAGGTTTTGAACTTTTGATTCATATTTTTGTTCACTATTGAAAGTTCGAAGCTTTTGATCTGATGGGTTATGAAGATTCAAGCCATATCTCTGCCTGGATACGGAGGATTCATGATCTCCAGCTGAGCTAGTTACCTAGCTTTTTGTAGAAATAGAAATTAATCCTCTTTGGTCAAATCCGAAATCAAATCGGAAACTTAGTGAACTTCTGAGCCCATATTGTTGTTGCAAGACAATATTAGAAGCAGAGAAGGTTGAATATGTCTTCTCCAGGAGATCCTCTTCGATCAAAGTTTCATTACAAAACTTGAGAAGTGATCAGATTCGACAAACTTCATAATTATACTCATTCACATACTTAAAGACTTGGAAGCGCAAATGCTGCTAGTCATGTCTTGCTTCAAGCAAGAATATGTCCTTTGGTGATTAAAACGATCAGCCAAAGTGACCCATAGTGCACGTGGATCCTCCTCAGCAAGATATTTAGTTTGCAAGGCATCATGGATATGTCTTCAGATGAAGATCATAGCAGCGGCTTTTTCAGCTTCGCCAACAAGGTTGTTTGTCTTTTCTTCGATCACGAGATGCAAGTTCTTTGCAGTGAGGTAGAGCTTCACATCTTGGACCCATTTGAGGTAGTTCCTGCCAGAGGCCTCCAAAGCAATGAAGTCGAGTTTGTTCAAATGCGACATGTTCCTGTCACAAAATAGATGGACAAGACGTGGTTAGTGTAATGGAGAAAAATCAATCCATTCACATAGGAGTAGAACATACAGGTTCTAATAGACATGTATTGATTTAATTTTGCATTAAAAAACTTCGGGTTTTCATGGGTGATTTTTTTAAATGAAAACTTTTGATGTTTATAAGTGAAACTTCAGGTTTTCAAACAAGGCATGTTTTTAAGAAACTTCAGGTTTCGAAATAATTATGAACTTCAGGTTCATATGTTCCTGCAGGTAAACACAAATATATACACAGAAATATGCAACAAGAATATGCAAATAGAACTTTAGGTCTACAATTATATTGAATTAATTATTTGGATTTCGGACCAAATTTAAGGTGTCGGTGAAAAAATATAAACCCATTGGGCCTAAAATAATTAGGCAAATAAACTCGGGGCCTAAAAGAAGGCCTAAGCCCACGAGTGGGCTGAGTAATTTCTCTGCTGTGAGGTCCTGGCCCATATTGGGTTGGATTTGGTCTAGGACTACAGCCCCTACGGTGAGAAAGGTAAAAGGGATAGGCTCAAGTAGCTGGCCCAAGATTATGGGCTGGATAAAAAAAAAATGGCTCGTGCAGGGGCAGTGATCTTATGCTACGAGTTGCAGGGTATGATAGGTGTCGTGCGGGGGCAGGGTTCCAGTGTGGTGGGTATACGGGAACACCGAAGCCTAATTGGGCTTGTGTGGTGAGCGAGTCGAGAGAAGGGTTTGCAGCAGGCTTTGCGGCATACAAACCCAAAACCAAGTTTTGGTTTTAGATTGGTCCGAGAAGAACCAAAGCCCAAAGGCTATGTTTTTGGACCAAAAGGGTAGCCTAGCGTGTGCTGGGTATGCGTTGCCGGGGAAGAACACCGAGATTAGTTGACGATGCCACGTTAGACGGCGTTTCCAAGGTCGGGACAAGCCATGGTTTGTCGGAGAACAAGTGTTTGTTGACAGAGATAAGATCTCAACGTCGGGGGACAAAGGACCGAAGGAATTCAATTGAATTGAAATGAAAAACCCATTTCAAGAAATCGTTGGTGAAAACGATAGGTTTGTCCAAATTACACGACTGCTGGTCGTGTTTCGTCGGAAAAATCAACGGGGAAGACCTGGGCTTCAGGCCGTGGTTGGGACAAGGTGCTTCAAACGCACCGTTTTCAGTTCAGGCTTGCGCCCGGGGTTCGATATTGGGTTGGTCTTGGCTTGCTCACGGGCGTGGCCCATTGACATGGGTGATGCAGGTCATGGGTTCGAAAAACCCTAGGTTTCTCGATTTCAATTTTTTTTTCCTTTTCTTCAATTCAATTCATATATAACTCAATTTGATGCATATGCAATTCAATAATTTTAAATGCATGTGCATATATTTGATGCAATTCATGGTAAATATCAAATTCACATAATTCAATAATTATGAATATAATGCATACACAATTTATGTAGAATCTAAAATTCGAAAAATGTAAAGTTGGGTCATGCATTATGGTGAATGTTCATGCCATCAGGGCTGCAAAAATATCGAGATAAAAACCGTTGTTTTGAAAGAACCTGATTGCGTGATTATATGGATGAACTGGTTTGATGCAGAAAATCTCCTCGTCAAATCCCTAAACGCATCGATAGGAGCAT